TATATATATATATATATATATATATATATATATATATATATATATATATATATATATATATATATATATATATATATATATATATATATATATATATATATATATATATATATATATATATATATATACATATATATATATATATGTACACACATATATATATATATATATATATATATATATATATATATATATATATATATATATATATATATATATATATATATATATATATATATATATATATATATATATATATATATATATATATATATGTATATATATATATGAATATATATATATATATATATATATATATATATATATATATATATATATATATATATATATATATATATATATATATTTATTTATATTAGTGTTGTCACGGTACACGGTACTTCGGTACCAAGTCGGTACTAAAAAAATTTAAACGTCACGGTACCAAGTTTTCTTAAGTACCCGTAGTACCGAAGACCCATTCAAACCCGATTCCTTGATGCGCATGCGTGCAGTAGCGCGTCCTCTTTTTTAAACTGCTAAGAAATAGCGACCGGTGGTGCAGCTGATGTGGTAGCTCTAAATCCACTTGTTGAGAAAAAAGGAGGAAAGAGACATGTGTGGAAATATTTTGGATTTGCGGCTGATGACAAGGGGAATATCATTGATAATCAAAAACCCATTTGCAAACGATGTCGCCAAAGTTTTCTCTCAAAAGGAGGAAACACATCGAACTTAATAAAACACCTCAAAGACCAACACCCGGATCTGACGAAAGAGTTCAAGCAGGTAAGTTTCAAACTAATTTAAAATATAGAGCTTCTGTTATGAATTATATATCATATTTTAATTTGAATGTCTGAACCAGTCGGATAGAAATAAACAGCCAAAAATAAGTCTTACAGAAAGATTAATAATATAAAAATAACAATAATAAGCTTAAAAATTAAATTAAAAAAATATATACTTTTTTTACGTTTTTTTACAACCTATTGTTAAGACTTTTCTTTTAATAAGTATTTCTGTAAAAAGTCGTTTGTAAAAAGTTGTTTTTAAAAAGTCGCTCATAAAAAGTCGTTTGTAAAAAGTCGTTTGTAAAAAGTTATTTGTAAAAAGTCTTTTGTAAAAAAGATTTTGACGTCTTTAATAGAATGACTTTACAGAGAAAATAAAATCGGTGACTTCAAAGCGAAATCTAACTTTTTAAGTGACTTCTAATTAAAACGTTTAGGCATTAAAAGTTTTGAACAACGTTCAATGTTTTGAATAAAGTCGTTGTTGTTAATAAAATTAACATTAAAAATAGTTCTATACGATTTAATTTAATAAAAAAATTATAATTTAGTAAAAGATAATATAAATATATATTTTTGCTGATTCTTTCCTTCTTCAAAAAAATAAATAAAAAAATTCCAGAAAATAAAAAATATTTATCGAAGAAAACGTTTTAGCGAATAAAGTTTTGTGTATAGTTTTTTCGATTAAAGTATTAAAGGTTTTTATCGCATTATAAAAATGGAAATAAATATAGTTATAGAAATAGTTTTAAATTTATTATAAAAATACATATTTATAAAATAAATAAAACTACATATATTATATTTAATTATTGGGAAAATCCTTCTAATCCTTTACTTTTTTACTTCCATGGTGCTACTAATAGAAATTATGTAATTACCTACCATGTAAAGGATTAAACAATTTTATACAAAAAGTATTTTTTAACAAAATTTAAAATATTTAATCTTTTTACAAGTACTAATTATTTATTAAAATTGTTTATATAGGCTTTTATATAGGCTATTATATAGGCTATTATAAAAGCTGAGGTTTGTTATTTAGAGAAAAACTAATGTTTCTTTTGTTCAGACTCAGCCCATTTTTGACTTCTATACTTATAAAGTATATTTATTATATTTTCCTTTTACAGCTGCAAGCTGAGGAAGACCATGGAACACCCCCGCAAACTCATAAACAGGCAACAGTTAAAGAAGCTTTTCAGTGGCAACAAAAATATGACAAAAACTCACCTGAGGCAAGAAAGCTAAACCTAGCTGTTGCTGAATTCATATGTATTGATAAAGTACCCATTTATACAGTTCAAAAATGTGGATTCCAACAAATGCTCCATCATTTCAACCCAAAATACCAGCCTCCAAGTCGAAACTTTTTTATATACACTGAGATTCCCTGCATGTAAAATGACACCAGAGACCTCATAATCCAGCATCTCAGTGACAAATCATTTTACAGCAGCACAACAGATCTTTGGATAAGTAGAACTGCAGACACTTTTATGTCTTTAACTCTGCAGTACATTTCTAAATCATGGGAATTGCAATCCTGGTGTCTTGGCTGTTGTGGTCTCAACACAGACCACACTGCTGAAAGTTTGAAGGAGGCCTTTGATGAAAAACTTGAAGACTGGAAGTTGGACATTGCAAGAATGTCAGGCATCACAACAGACAGTGCCTCAAATAACAAAAAAGCCTTTGAGGAC